AACTACAAATTTTGTACCCTGCCTCCAGAGGTCCGTTCTCAAAATACTTAAGATAAAATACACCGTACTTCCGGTTGATTTTAAAAGCTCTTTCTCCTCCGCACTTCGCGCCTCGTTGACGCGGCTTCGCTACAAACCATCAGTATCGATAAGAACATAGCTTCAGTTTGCAGAAAGTATTCTTATTTTCATACCACAATCTAATAGAGAGATTAAGTGTCCCGTTTACGCCAAACGGCAAACGTCAGATTCAAGAAGAGAATTTTTCAGGATAGAAAATAAGCAGATAAAAACTGTCCAGAACAATTCTTTTGTATAAAACTGCCGTGAAACTACTTAGTTTTAGTTGAAGTAATAACAGTTAATGACAATTTAATAAGGGAAAAACTTGGTCACGTGGTGTAAATTCACGTGGCTTCCTGTTAAGTAGGGAGCTCTGAGAACGACCACCTTTACAAGATCCAACAAAAGCTCTGTACTCTTACAATACTATAATGTGCCATTTTACGGATATAAGTGAACACATGTACAATTCCTCTATTTATCGACGTTGACATATTACCAGGGACATTTATGTATTATAAAACTGTAGCTAGTCTAATGCGCCCGATGTTAACAACAACAATTCGCCACCAAATTTCTTAAATTTATTTGAAAAAACCTCAACAATTAACTCATACAATGCACAATCATCTACTGCTGGTAACTTTCACGTTAAATTCTCGAAGCTGGAAATACACAAAAACTCTTTGCCGCGTTTTGGCGTAAAACTTTGCAATAAGATACCTTCTCATATTAGCGATCCTAAAAAGGAATTTACGAAAGTTCTTCACGGATCGCTTTCCGTTAGAAGATGACTATTGAGACGCCATTGATATTATTAAAAAGGTTGGATTAACAGTTGAAGTGATTTCTGCATAAAATTAAATGCTTTCTTCTCTCCGTCAATTCCTTTTTGGTTTTTCCTTAGATGTAATGTAACTAAAATAAAACTATGATAGAAATAAGAATTATTGTAACTTAAAGTATTTTTCTTCCTTTCCTTTCCTTTCACTTTATTTTTTCTTTTAACTGGGCCGCCTAGGTAAGCGATTGCTATTTTGCGGGCCAGTGTATTGTAATTACTTTTTTTAGTAAATAAAGTTGAAGTTAAAGTTGACGCGCTTTTGTGTGGATGGGTAAAAACAAATTGGGGTATACACCGCGTGTGGATGCGTACTGTTATGAATACGGAAACAAAAAAAAAACCTTGTCAAAACTTTCCGGGAACTTGTGGACAAGGTCTAAAGTGGACAGTGTAAAATAGGAAACATTACAACACTAAAATGTAGTACTGAGTACGTTTACATTTAATCATAGAGGGATCATTTAATAGGGTGGTGTTGTTTTCGCTATACATACAACGTCTAACGTGAGTGGTGCAAGCTCTTGTAAGCGGCCATCTGTAGCTTTTTATGTTGGCTTACAAGTCGCTTAAAAGGGGAACTGTAGAAGTAAGCTGTCATCTTGAGTTGAGAAAACTTTGCATGCTTCCCTGAGGCGCTCTGTAACGACAGCGTCGGTTCTAAGTAGCACTTGTACATAGCAAATCTGTGGAAACCTGTTTTTCGATAACCTATAATTAAGAATCCGAAAGTTACTTACCGTTGTCGATGTTGTTGTTTCCAGGTGTACAGAATGCTTCTGGAACATATTTGGTCGCCGCGCATTTGGGCAATTATCAGGTCAAAGAGGCCTCCCGCGCAAAGATACGATACTTCCACAAACGCAGGGGCAAGGGCAAGGATATCATTCACATAACGGGACCAATAAACGCCACGTTAAGAGTAATGGTAAGTAATACAAGAATTACTGAAACAAGAATTTGAAAATGCAGGTATTTGTTACAAGTCAAACGTCTGTCAAAGGGAGTAGTTTCATCTGAAGAACTAACTACACACAAAGTATGAAGGAAGGTTTCGTTTTCACAGTTCCACTTTTTTCAAGCATTGGCATGATTAGCTACATTCGCTCTTAAGCTGATGTTTCTTTAGTATGATTTGTGGTTAATGTAAAAGTTAGCACCTGTGTTATCAAATAAACCGCTGCTTTTAAACCTGAAGGAATAAATAACAGGCGAAATTATTTTGCCAACGGAGAGAATAACGGAATAATATTTAAGTTACATTTTCAGGGAACAGAGAGTAGCTTTTGAGCGATTTTCAATGCTCAAAGTAAATTTAAACAATAAACTATGTGATTTTTTTCAGTACATAAGAAAAGGTGGTCAGTCTATTAATTCAGGAGTGAAATACACCCTTATCATACCCTCTCTGCTGGCGGCTGGAATGCCTCAGCCTGGGTTGCCTGTTGAGTTTGATTGGATTAATGAGAATTGGTCAGGCTGCTCCAAATCTTGTGCATCAGGTAATTATCCAGTTCAATTAACCCAACTTCTTTTGTTAACTATATCCTGTACCTAGCCTGCGCCACAGACGACAGTTAACTTCTAGTGAATTCCGTCTACGAAACAGCGCCGAAATCCTTGTTCTGGTCCCCACCTGTGTACCACGATTTGAGTACACGCCATGATAGGACTGTTAAAAATGCCATTGTCAATTTGCCANATGAAGGAAGGTTTCGTTTTCACAGTTCCACTTTTTTCAAGCATTGGCATGATTAGCTACATTCGCTCTTAAGCTGATGTTTCTTTAGTATGATTTGTGGTTAATGTAAAAGTTAGCACCTGTGTTATCAAATAAACCGCTGCTTTTAAACCTGAAGGAATAAATAACAGGCGAAATTATTTTGCCAACGGAGAGAATAACGGAATAATATTTAAGTTACATTTTCAGGGAACAGAGAGTAGCTTTTGAGCGATTTTCAATGCTCAAAGTAAATTTAAACAATAAACTATGTGATTTTTTTCAGTACATAAGAAAAGGTGGTCAGTCTATTAATTCAGGAGTGAAATACACCCTTATCATACCCTCTCTGCTGGCGGCTGGAATGCCTCAGCCTGGGTTGCCTGTTGAGTTTGATTGGATTAATGAGAATTGGTCAGGCTGCTCCAAATCTTGTGCATCAGGTAATTATCCAGTTCAATTAACCCAACTTCTTTTGTTAACTATATCCTGTACCTAGCCTGCGCCACAGACGACAGTTAACTTCTAGTGAATTCCGTCTACGAAACAGCGCCGAAATCCTTGTTCTGGTCCCCACCTGTGTACCACGATTTGAGTACACGCCATGATAGGACTGTTAAAAATGCCATTGTCAATTTGCCAATCAGGTTGAAGGGAAATTCGAAACGCATTTCCGACAATTAATAGAGTCTGTTGAGTACACAGAACAAGGATATCGCTGCTGCTTCGCAGACTTTGCTAATCGGGGGTAAATTACCTCCAGGACGCAGCTCAGGCTATACTGTACCACGGCTACTCGAGATTGTAGGATAAAGGTATTTGCCCGGGAGAAAGCTTCTCGAAAGTTCTGGTCGACTAACTTCTGGGCTCCTAAAGTTGTTTTTACATTCAAGATGGTGAGCTGATAATATCATAAAACTGCCAGTTAACATAACAAACTGAACAGGTTTTTCGGCTAAAACCTGTACTTTTGTTCTTTAATTTAGCTCCTGAACGGATACCTGAACATTCCAGCAAAATACCCCGCGACTGAACAACCTCTTGATAAAACTTGTTATACTGACTTATTCACAAATTATTGCTTGTTATACTGCCTTACGGTTCGGGTCCCGGTTGCATAAAACCTGCACTTAAGTGCCCACTTAAGTAGGTCACTTACGAATCCGTTATGGGTACACTTCCGTGTGTTGCATGGAACACACTTAACACTCTCGTAAGTTTCTGTTTTACGTTGTAACTTACGGGCTCACTTAAAGGCACACGTAACTTTGATATAGTACTTTTAATTATTAATTTGACTAGCTCTATTTTTTTAAAATTAAGTCAACTATCGGTGAGTGTAAAGAAAGTATCAGGTCGTTTCGAACATCTTTAAGCCTCTCATTCAAATAAAGTTTACATGACATCGTTATTTTACTTCAATATCCACTGGAAATGTTTGTCGTCCTTCTTTTTTCTTAACGACGGCTTTAAACTGTCCATCAGAGGTTAACAAAGCGCATTAGAACGGAATTACGTAAAGAAAAAAACATTTTTTTGTTCACTTCTCAGTAAAAGATCTCGTTAGCTTTGGTAAAAATGGTAAGGATACGGGACCTACAGGTCTCGTAAATTTACGTGCTATTCTTCC